GGTTTGGTGGGCAGCTTCTGCCCAGCTGCCACATGTCGAGATGGACTGCTCGCAGTCCCGTCTGTCACTGTTCCCCCATGCGTAGGCGTCCTGGCTTATCACGCAAGTGGGACTTTTTTGCCCACGAGGCAGTTCCGCAGGTTGCCAGCGAGTGTTAACCCCCCTCCTTTTTTTTTTGTTCTATTCCGTTTTTCTTCACATTTTTAAAGATCTCATAAATCGAAATAAAATTTAAAAACATATTTTACATACAAAACTCATTCGAAAATAAAATGCTAAATTAAAATGAAAATTTAGCACAGTCATCCATATAGGTTCAGGGGTATTACAATTTTCTTTTCCTCTCCGTATTTTTCTCAAATGGCAAAAAAGAAATCAAGATCAAGAAATTTTAGAAATCTATTAAGGCAGAATTAAAATCATATATTTATAAGTTTCCAAGCCAAGAGCATATCTTTTTAAAAAAGTATATTCATATATAGAAAAAAAATCAATGGAGATCATAAATGAATTCTAAGCATTTATCATAAGATTATGTACGAATTTACTTAAAATCAAGATATCTTCTATAAATTAAGAGATCTTCAAGAAATTTTTTTTTTAAATTGAGATATCTTCAAAAGATCTGTAAGAAATTTTGTTTAAATTAAGAAATTTTCAAGAGATCTCTTTATATTTTAAGTTCATATCATGTTTAATTCAAGAATCTTTTCAGAGACATCAAAATCTCAACAATATTAGAAAAAAATCTTCTTTAATTCAAGATAGACAACCATACCTACATTAATTAATATTAAATATTATTTTCTTAATTATATAATTTATTATTTCCTAGAAAAGTAATTGTAATTAATTAGGAGATTTCTTTTTCTTGTATTTCACATAGCCTCCAACAATAAATAGGCATAAAAAATTGTATTCAAAGTTTAAGTATCAAATTAATAAAATAGAAAACTTTTAGCTTGACAGTTTGAGGGCTTTCTTCAACCTTCTTGTTGAGTGGTGATTGGTGTCTACTTATCAATATAACTTGTGATGTTTTTATCAAATTTTTTTTCTTAAATTGATTTTAACTTATCAACATTTTTCTTATGACGTTATAATAAATTTATTTATCCTTTCTATTTTAGTTCTAATCACATATTGATTGTGAATTAAGTAGAGAGAGTTTACCATAATTTAAATTTTTTATGCTTTATGAGTATTGTGTGAGTTTCTGATCATATTGTTGATCTTGAATTCCGCATTACATAAGTTCTAGTTTAATTCAAGAGATGAGAGAGATAGAGAGAGAGACTCAATTTGTAAATTTAAGGATCTATAAATTGTCACTAATCTTGGTGAAACAACACTAAACCCACATATTTTATGAGATGGATAAAAATTATTATGTTGGAAGTAAATTTTAGCATTTATCTTTTGGTAGTTATTGTATGTGATTACCTTAAAGATGTGCATCTACTTTGTGTAGTGATATGCATATTCTTGGGGAGCTTTTAATGCTTGGGTTTGAGTCTTATGTGTTATGAGTTCATATGAATGGACAATAAAAAATTATTTATTTTAATTAAGATAATCATATTTTTAAAAAATTTTATTAACTGATATTTTCATCATAAAAAATAATCTAAATTATAATTTTGTATCTTCATTAAATAATAATGTTTAAAAAAAAAAGAAGAGACATAAAAACTTTGATATTATTTTGTGTTCCCAGTTGTAAATTAGAAAAAATTACGATTTTTTTTCCATACATAAAATGTATGTTTGTTTGTAACAAAATTACTTGCAAATGTTTTTAGTGTAGTTAAAATTCTAAATTTAATGCTAATTATATAAATTCCTATTTATAATCATATGGATGTTTGAATCAATGTGGATGAAAATATGTTTTGTTTTTAATGAAAGGTGAAGGTTGCTGTTTGGTGAGGGAATGAGAAACAGCTGTCTATTTATCTTAATTTTCTTGTTTGATTGAATGCATTTTAGTATCTAAATATTTTCTCTTCTTTTTTAAATAAAGTATTATGTATTTTTGTTACTTTTTTTTAACATTTTTAATAAATATTATGTATATAAATCAACAGTTGAAAATAAAAATATAATAATAACATCAATGTCTTAAAAAATAAGATCAGAGCTCAAAAATAATAATTTATTTTAAATAATAATTTTGTATATTTTTTGAAAAAATATTTTTATTACTATTTAAAATTATAAATGTGGCTATATTTGTCACAAACATATAAAAATTTTAAAACACCATACTTGCTTATATCACTATACAGGTAATTTCCAGAAATTTCTCCAATTTTCTTCTTCTTTTCAGCCCCCCCCCCCTCCTCTCTCTCTCTCAACTTTGTTATTTCTTTTCTTGTTCAACTTTGGTTTTTATTTATGCATGAACTAAATAAAATTTTGTTTCTAATTTCAGGTTTTGCATTTTTTTTCCCACTTTCTGTCAAATGTGCATGGATGAATAAATCTAGTATTATAATATATACGTATATAAACATATTTGGAAGGTACATTCCAAAATGGCCTATCATAATAACCCAATTGAAAAATTAATGTAATTTTTCTTGCAAATTGAACTAAATCTTATATAAGTCAAATATTAATAAAATTATATAATAATTTGAGATTGAATTTAATGATAGTCAAATTAATAAGATTACAATTATGCTATGTTGGAAAGACAATAAACCGCTAACTTTGGGTAATAAGAGGGAAGGAAATTTACCGTGTGTCACAGACATTAACTAACGGGTATACACGGCCTCTGCATGTACGCCACGTGTCCAATTCAACCACCGGATAAGACGATTCTTAGTTTTGGCATTGACTTGGTCCTACCGTAAGCTTCGGCGACGCGTATGTACCGGATGCCCCCACCTCCCTATTTTTAAGCATCAACAAACAAAAATAAATAAATATAAAAAAATAAATTCCGGAAAATAAGTGATAATAATTTCTTTTTTCTTTTTTGTTGAAAACATTTTCTGTGTTTTCATTTGTTTCCACTTCCGATGTTGCTTTGGTTTTTTCATCTTCCTTGCGCTGCCCAACAAACCAAACCAAACATGAAACAGAATCGCCTTCGCTTTCTTCTTCTTCTTCTTCTCCTTTTCTAAATTCAAACGCTTCTTTATCTCACATGGCATTTCATTTCTCTTCTCTTCTCCTCAGGTGCTTCCTCTCTCTCTCTCTCTCTCTCTCTCTCTCTTTTTCTCTCTTTCAATCACAATTTCTGATATTTCTTTCTTTCTCTCCTTTATTTGATGCTGTCATTCTCTATTGCGCTTCATATGTTTATTGCTTTTCAGTTTTTTCTATCCTCTACTTCTAATTTTAGATTTTCTTTCTTTTTTTTATATTTAATATGTGATGCATGTTTGTATAATTGCAAGATCTGTGCCTTTTGTATCAAATTCATGTTGTTGATTTTGGTTATTCTTTGTTTACTTGCAGGTTAAACTTAATTATTTAGGAATTTCAATTGATCCGATCAATGTAAAGATCATTGGCGACCGAGGATTTATTGTTTTTTCTTTGTAGAGTCATTAGTAAACTGCCAACACTGTTGCTGTTTCTCTATTTTCCTATTTTCATCAACGAAACAAGAGGAAAAGCTATGGGCTACCTTAATTCAGTCTTGCCGCACGGTGAGGATGCGCCAGTTAGCGGCGGAGGTCTCAGGTTAATACCGTATTTAATGTTCATCAATTCGTTAGACAGATCTAGAAATGCATTATTTCTCGCTTTTTTTTTCTTTTACCTTTTTCTTTGGTTGCCTGCTATATTATTCTTCTACTTTTCTTTGTCTTTGCACCATTTATTTGGCAAGTATGTTATTATCTTTTGTGTACTGCATGGACTCTCTTTTGACTATATGTTCACGATAGTTGATGCTCGATAGATCTTCTTCTTGTAGAAATAATATAATCTATGGGCTATAGATTTATGTAGACAGTTTCTATAGATTGATTCTTACGATAGTTTATTAACGTGGTTTCTTTAGGACTTCTTTTATTCTTTTTTATTTTATCATAGATTTTCAATTTAATCTAAACTGAGGACAGGATCCTTTACTTGATGGGTTTTACTATCAGTAATACCCATGAGGAGAAATTTCTAAATGAGGAATTGACACTGTGGAAGGATAGAGAGGAATGTAAAGCAAAAGAACTGGATTGATGGAAATACATACGTATATGTGTATCAAATTAATGCAAATAAAGTCTCCTTGAATTATGGAATAATCCGACATAATATCCTCAATATTCTGTTTCTTGTCAATTTCTTAGCCCTTTTAGGTATTAAAATCCTTGAGGATGTTTATTCATAATGGTTGGTGACATAGAGATGAATGGAGTCAATGACTACTTTAAGATTTGTCATATGGACACGTAAAAGGATCTGTCGACTTGGAAAAACTAGACAGTTATCCTTGTTTCTTTGTTTGTCGGATCTTGCTAGTGTCATTTGTCGTTGACGCTAGGCATGAATGCCAAAACGAAAATTAACTAATTTTGTGCGTGCTTTCATTTGTCCGATCTAGCGTAGTTTATTTTGTTGTTCACGCTAGACACTGATGTCAAAGCAAAGATGAAGTATATTTTTAATGCATTATTTCTTTTGTTTGATCTAGCTTAGTTTCATTTTGATAAATTCATGCTAGACACTGACATCAAATAAACTAGATCACCTATTCCTGTTGCATTCACATATGAAGTTGAGTACATAGTTTTTTTTTCTTTTCCTTTTTTCTAATTGAGAACTAATTTTAATCTGCAAATTCTTAGATGACATGCATGGTTCTAGTGAGATTTTTTGGACATATGATCTCTGAGAAGCAGAAGCCTAATTGGATTTGTTGAAGGAATAGAACTGCATGTAGTTAATTGTTTCAACCTGTCACTAAACATGAAGCTGTGAGATGTAAATAGTTTGAATTTGTTGTTCTTATGAAGGAAATGTTTTAATGGTGATCTGCATCCGTGGTTGCACTGTTGGTCTCTCAAATTTCTTTTGCTTTGCATTGCATCAGTTGTTGATGCCTTTGAAATGATTATTTTGTTGAGGATCATCATTCAACTTTCAAGTCCTTTTAGCATGTTCCGCATTTGTTATTAC